CAATGTTTCTCTGACTTTCTCTGTTTCTCTCTGTCTCTGTATCTCTCTCTCTGTCTGTCTCTGTCTCTCTGTTTCTCTGTCTCTCCCCTCCTCTACAGCTCCTTTGTGATCCTTCTTACATTTTCACATATTACAGAATTTCAACACACAGATGGAGGAGTTTCCAAAACTCTGGTTTTGCAGACCTGATATTCTAGCCAAAATAACCAAAATCATTAGCCACCACTCAGTGGGGCAAGGGCCATCGGTGGTGCCCACTGGGACTGTAAAATTTGGCTGCGTTCTCCCTTTGCTTCTGTGCTCTGGCACACACAGGCCTGTCTAACGGGCAGTGCCCTTTCAGTAAAGAGTGAGGAGCATGTGGAGCTTATAACCTGCCTTGCCTCAGAAGAAAAGGATAGAAAACAAACCTTTTTAATTTGACTTCTAAAAAAATCATCACTGGGTTTGTTCACAGCCATGGGCTCAAACATCTGACCCAGTCATAGACTCAGAGTCACTAGGGCTGGGATTGAATAGGGGAGGTCACATGACTTCTGCAGGTCCTGTTCTGCCTACCTCTTATCTCTGCCTTGGTCAGGTGGAGATGGTGTTTACTTCAGTAATTTACTTTTAATTTTCTAGTATAGGCATTCTTCCCAACTCTCACACCTGACTCTGTCTTTGACACATTACGGCTTTCCCACCTGTAAAATGGGATAAAAGGAGAAACTGTCTCGTGGGGTTGCTTTGAGGGTATGTTAGCTAATACATATAGTATTCAAATTAACCTGAATGTGTAGCATGTAACAGACTCTCAGGAACTTTAGTTTCTTCCATGATACGTCAGGCATGGACTGGCTCATTGAGATAACTTGTGGACTGTGCTTCCTGAGAGAAAATTGGCACCAGGATGCTGTCTGTTAAAACGGGGAGAAACAGACTCAATCTCAAAGCCACATTAAACAATATTGCTATCTACTTTGAGAAGGGTTTCAAAAAGTATCCAGAGGTTGGTTTGTCACATTGTCTTAGATGTTCTACAAGCATTTAATTTGGTTGGCTTTTCCCTGGAGCATCTGTATGCACATACAAATAATTTCTACTCATCCTCCTACTAGGAAGCCTATAAATATGCAAGGAGACCCCAACAGAAGCTGCCATAGAAATCCCCAGCATTGGCCTGGACTCTGCTAATTCTTATAGCTTCTTGCTATAGCTCCTGAAAGAGAACATCCCCTATGCCAGGCATAGATGCAGCCATCAACAGTCTTCATCACAGACTAGGTTAGGATCACATGTGTTCTTCCTACATTGAGGAAGGGAGACATTAGTAGGCAGCAAAGTAACAGGGTAGCACACAGTAGCACACAACAACAGGATTGCAGATAGTACAGGCAAGGGTCTGCAGGTGAGGGTCCGTGCCATCATAAGTTTGTCTTTCCCCTGGCCCTCCCTGAATCTACTGAGGTCTGTGTTGGATGACATTTACCAAGCACAACTGGTTGTTTAGTATTCTTGAGTGATCATTTCAAAAAATTATTTTAATGTGGCCATTTGTTTCTTTCTTAAGTATTCCGGGGATCTTATCCTTAAGATCTCTTAGTAAGCTTTTGCTTTGGAGCAACATAATAAATGTCTTATTTTTAAATTGGGAAAGCAGGTGAGGTATTCTTAATAATTCCCTGAAGAGAAAGAGTATGGAACCTATCTGACTTTACACCGTTACAGGAGTGAAAACGCTTTGACTTGGGCCATATAATATCATAAACGTTTGCATTTGGACGTAACATGCTGGCTTAGCATGGGTTGACCTGGGCGACCTTGGCTTGACCCTTTCTCTTTGTTGGGCTTTTTTTTTTTTGTCGTCACAGCATTTTTTTTTCCTCCCTGTCCTACTCCTCCTCTCTCCGTTTTGTAAATTTGGACAGTGAGTACAATTTGTGACTCCCTAGTGGCTCACAGGCACACACACTGTATGTGAGAAGCCCTGTAAAACGTTCTGATTAGATAGGAAATGCCAGCTATTAAAATATTTTATTTATTTATTTATTTATTTATTGAAAAAGGTGACGGTGGTCTCCACTTGAGTGGACCACCCAGTTGCCTTAATTAACTTCAAACCTTGTCTCACATGCTACATCCTGGGCATGTTATTTTTAGGGAGGAAAAACCCTCATTTTAATTTTTTCACAGTGGTATATAAAAAGCATCTAAGGAGAAATGATTTATATAGACGTGTAAAATGCAGGCATGGTCATTTTGGGTGCGTCGATGTTTGGTCCTCACCAGTCTGGCTCTCCCAATTACCAATCATCAATAATGCTACTTAGTTTTACTAAAATGGTTTTGAACCTTTGAAACACAGAGTATAGGTTGTAATTATTAATTCTATACTTCATATTGGGTAAATTACAGCTGAGCTCAAGGAAAACATTTCATTTTTATTTTTTTTTTTTTATTTATTTATTTATTTATATTAAAGTGGGGACTCTGTTTTCTAGTCAGGGATATAGAGTGAGATTGTATCTCAAAAGAAGAACAAAAAATTAAGTTGTGATATTTTTTGTCACATGAATGAGCACATTGGTTGTCAATCATCTAAGGCAAAGAAGCTGTTCCGCATGTTCATAGGTCGGTTTGGGTCTACTTTAGCCTACATGTTGCTGTTTCCAAATATATTTATATTATGATCCAGGTGAGGAGGGACTGTCTCTCCTTGCTCAGATTTTTGCTTCAGTGCAAAGATATAAATTGAGTGGCATGGTACAGTGCAAAGATATTTTCAGCTATTGTTAGTTGGATTGTCCTTTAAACTTTCACTGAGGCTGTAGACAACTACACAAAATCATCATGATGACAGGCAATGTCTCTCCAGGGGTGCATAAAAGGCACATCACCCCAGGTTTGGAAGCAAAGTTAAAAAGCAATAGTAGGTATATTTTATTTGGTCTGAAATATTTGAAAAATGTTAATATTTGGCTGCTTTTGATTGGGAATGAATTTGCACATGAATGCATCATTATGATCTTCTAAAACACATCGACTTCAGAAAATTTTGCAATTAATTGTTATCCAAACTTGGCAGAAGCCCTGCTCTGCATATCGAGTATCTGTCAGGTTTTACTATAGCATTATTAATCTCATGCTTTACGACTATCAATATCTAGTCGTTTTCCCTACTGTCATATAAATAAGGATCACAAGCCATAAAAGAATTCTTTGTCCAATTGATTTTCATTTTAGAATAAAAAGTGAAATCCTCCTGTATTTGGAAAGCTCTTGACTATTTAGGAATGGGGTGGATGTGTGGGTGGGGTGGATGGATGATGGCAGGGTGTGTATGCAGGTATATAGATGGATAGCTACTTATCTACCCAGATGGCAAGGGATGGAGGTGGGGAACATTAGAGAGTCATTTGGAGCATGGGCAGAAAGTCAGTCTTCAAAATTGAAAGAGAAATGCCTGCTGATGGTAGTTATCTCACGCTGAAGAGAGATAGAGATAGAGATAGAGATAGGGATAGGGATAGGGATAGGGATAGGGATAGGGATAGGGATAGGGATAGGGATAGGGATAGGGATAGGGAGAGAGAGAGAGAGAGAGAGAGAGAGAGAGAGAGAGAGAGAGAGAGAGGATCCATATGGTGGAAGAAAGTTACGAACTCCTGTAAGCTGTCCACTACCCTCCACATGTACATACAAGCACTTATCCCCTTGGAAGGTACATAAATAAAAGTATAATAGATTTAATTAAGGAAATCTACCAGTTATGTGTGAAATTATGTTGGTAAATGAATCCTCTAATAAGCTCTAAGAGAATGTTCAGGAGCCCTGACATCAGATCCAAGCGATCCCAGTGTCTTCTACAGACTTTTGTTCTATCAATTTTAGAGATGACTAAAGTGTTCTCTCCTCTTTTACCTCATATTCTCTCTTTCTACCCCCTTCCTCCTCTCCCTCTCTCCCCGCCTTCTCTTGCTACTTCTAGTAAGGGCAAACTAAATATTTTGCTCAGGTTGAAGCTAGCTGAGAGATGTCAAGGCTATACGTAATATCAGTAATGCCTCTTGTGTCTCAGATGGATTAAAACGGAACCACATCATGTAAAGTGGAAAAATCTTGGAGAAAAGTTGCAAGATAAAATTATAAGAGAAGAAGAATCTTAATAAGTGGGGGAAGAAGGAAAATGTGTCAAACTTTAGTAAACATTGATACAATTACACCAAACGGATCCAACAATTGGAGGAATGAAGATAGAATTCTGTGAACTTGAAATGCCTTAGAAACTATAACTAAATGTTAGGATGCTAGCAACAGGATATCTAGCAACAGGATGGGAGGATACAGAGCTGAGGGGTAGATTTGACTTTCTTACCTACTGCATTCCCTCTTGGGAAAACACTCCCTACACTATTTGCATAGCCCTGCCTACTTTTGGTTCCCATTAGTGTCACCTTGTAAATAAGAATCTTCTTGAGGAAATACACTGACAGTTTTATATGGACCAATATTGGATTACATCAACCCCACACTCCCCCAAGTCTGTAGGAACTCTTTATCACATTTGGTCTACGAGTGCAGCAGAGAAGGAGTGGAGAGTTCTAGATGTTTACGTTGACTGGGTCCGGCATATGGAGCTTTCATGGGTGATGGAGGCTGAGGGTACAGGATACCAATTTCTTTTTATCTTGAGAAACCATGATACTAGCACAAAAGAAACCACTTCTTCGGTTAATTTATATGGAAGTGTGCCTTTGTCCTGATGTATATATAAATGGTAACTTTGATGGCTCAGTAGAAAATGCCTTTAATATTTTCTAGCCACGGGTAACTATACTTTCCAAACACTGACGATTTTGATTCAACTTCCATTTTTTAAAAACCCTTCTCTTGTAAGGCTGATCCATCCTGAGTTCTGCTGTCTGTCTCCCTAGCACTCCTGAGAGATTCAGTGGATGTATTTGATTATTCGGAGGTAACTACCTCAAGAGTAAGCCAGTGTCTGTCTCTGTCCACAGGGGTCCGTCTTGACAGAGTGCGTGGAGGTCGGCAGAAGTACAAGCGTAGAATAGATGCTGAGAACAGCCCATACCTGAACCCTCAGCTGGTGCAGCCAGCCAAAAAGCCATGTAAGTACAACAGATGTGCCTGGCTTCCCAGACACAGAATCCTCCCAGTTGGCAGTGTGCATCCTAGTGTTGGCATGCCCGTCCCTTCTGAGTCCAAGGAAACTCCTCTCAGTTAAAGAACATGAACTCTATTCTCAGGGATTGCCTATGAAGTACAGTGTCAACCCAACTAATGATATCTTTCATTTCTTTTAAAGCCATCTATGAGAATTCTCTACCCACCTTGTTTGTGCCTAGTCATTTTGTAGAAGCGTAAGCATATTAATGTACGGCTTATATAGAGTGAGTTTTACATTTACCGGTTGTCGTTATTTGCAGAGGTACATAAAACGGATCATACTGTGATCATTAGCTCACCGGAGCTGTTAGTTTCAGATTTCACAAGAAAGTGACTTTTGTAGTTTTCCCTAACTAAATGAGTTTGGCTGCTCAACCTCCCAATGAAAATACATTAGGGGCCTCATTAATTTGAAGCTATATAAGGTTAACACAGTAGCTAGCAATAGATTAGAACGAGAATGGACCCTACTAATAATGAGCATAGGTTGGTGGTTCCATCTCAGGTGCCCTTATGGGTGTTATAAATTGTTTTTAAAGAGCCCGTGATTTTATGATACCAGGTTGCAATTGGAAAGGATGGCTGGCTCATAGCTAGAATGCAAGCCCCATTCTCTTTGTCATTAACTAAAAGGGGCTGGAGTGTAGATTGTGGCAATAAATGTATCCCATTTTCTGAGAAATCAGTTAATAGCTACAGTGCCGCAAGCTAGCAATCTAGATGTTTATGCCTGGCATTCAGAAGAGTCCCTAAGAGTTGCTTTGGTAGCAAAATCGCTTGCACATACTGTTTTTTTGGTTTTGATTTTTTTTTTAAATAGAAGACACAAGTTACTCTTCCTTCTATATCAGTTTAAGAGAAGGTGAGGTTGTTTTGATCTGCCCTCAAGGAAAAAGGAAGGGCCAGCTTCTAGTTCAATCTTTCCAGGAGGGGTCAGTGCTATGCACCATCCGGGCCGGCATCTGGGACTCTGTTAAATAAATAAAGCAGACCCTGAACTGTAAATGAAAGGACATTTTAACTGTGTTAAAGACAAAGCATCCCATTTTACATAAAATTAAAGCGTAAGTGAACATATGGCATAGTTTCTTTTTGCCTTTCCAGAAAACATTATGTTGATTATACTTTCAATTGTCCAATCTGGCATCTCCTCCTCAGCCTGCGAAGCGGTTTGGCATTCTGCAGATACGATCTAGGAGTGCATTAAGCACATTTTGCACATTATAATTAAAAACTTTCTGATAATACAATAAAATGCAATAAACACTAATGCTTTAATTTCATCAGAGGGTTAGTGTTTCTTGATTCAATTATACCAAGATTGCTCATTTCTCGTTTACCTGAAGCACACATTGACCAATACCATTGATAATTTCCTCTACAGAAAGAAAAAGTGAGCACCAGGCTCTTTGTAAATCAACATGGTACAGGGACATCTATCGTTTTCTGTGTAAACCTGAAAAATTGGGAAGTGGCTTGTCAAGTAGCTCTAAGAAGATTACAGCAATTGCAGGGCACCGCATTCGTCTGAGATAAAGAGGGTTCCTAATGAATCGTTACTCATTATCTAAAGGCCGTTGTGTTAATTTTCCTTAGTCCATCCAATTAGTGTGTTTTCGTAACAAACATTTATAAAACTTAATTTTCAGATCCTGTCGGATAGGCATCAGGGGACGCCACAAGCTTAACGAGAAGGTGGCTGGGGAGATTTTTGCACCCCTGGCTGGTTGTTTGTGTACTACAAAGGCCCAAGACTGAAAATTGGGTTGTATTGATTCTAATTAGAGAAACATTAAATAAGACTTAGCCAGAAACAGTGCTGTTGGCTATTCTGTTTGCTGAAGGATGGGGATGCTGAAGGATGGGGATGCCCAGGCTTTCTCTGAATCGCTCTGACCTGCAAGTCAGAAAGCCACGGCTTGTCTAGAGCAGGCTGCATGCTTTGCCCTGTGGAAACAAGACTCTAGAGTCATGGTTTCCTATGGTAACACACGTGTGCCCTTGACTGATGCTTCTTCAGAGCCACGAAAGTCAAAACTTCTCTCAGTGTAACCAGATATACATGGACTCCCTTCCATAGCATGTAAGACAAACGAACACCCCTCCTTTCAAATTCTATAAGCTAAAAAGAACATATATCACCGTTAGTAAATTTTTCCTTCTAAAGTATGCTATTTTGGAATATTTCTACCAGAATATGACCCTTAATGTTAAGGACTACTATCTGGAATAAGTATAATTTGTATGTCCACAGTAGAGTAATTTAAAAAATATTTTTAGGGTTGCCTGTATAAGACCTGAACAAAATCAAGCTAGTCATCATTCTAGCATAGAGCTGGGAGGAGGGATCTCAAAGCCCTCCTACCCCTGTAAATTAAGGAACTCTTGACAATTGCTAGCTTTTGAGGATCTTGGAAGAGTTAGATGGAAGATTAAGGGTTGGTTAAATAATTAAATGATTAAAACACATTATATGAATTAATTTCAGAGAATCAATGGAATACTACACACACATACATATACATAATTTCAGAAAAAATGCTAGATATGTCTTAGATAAGTTTATTTGTTATTTCATCATAAGACCAAAGAATTCCAGGCATCATTTGTAGTTGAAGGAGTTAAAAACAGAGTGAAAGAAAACATTTAGCAAACATACTTGAAACTTTAGCTCAGTCCACAAAACTCGCCCCTTAGACTCCCGAGTTTCTGGAAAGATATTACCTAGGACTCTTAAATATGTGAATTGATTTTTACCCATTTGTATCTCCTCACATAGGAGAAAGAATCCCATCTAAAGCTACATGGAGAAATTGAAAATCAGGCCAACGAGAAAAATCATTCTGTTAGTCGGGCTTTACGGCCCCTCCATAAACCCACACATGCCCCTAAGCAGCAAAACACATCCAATGAGACACTTCCCATTCGTCTCCAGTGTTGACTTTATGAAGATTTCAAAAGCATAGATCACAAATTTCAGACAGATAAATCTGAAGCAGAGAATGAACTGGGGACAAGAGATGAAAATAGGAGATTAAAGAATACGGTGCTCGGAGGAGGAAATGCTGTATCCTATAAGCAGGCTCGTTTTTATGGGCACAGATATTAGCTGTATTTGGAGGGTTGGCTTGCTACGTGGAGACCAGGGAAAGGAGGGCAGCTCCTATTTAATGCATCCCAAGGAGATAGAGTTATATAGTCAGTAATTCATCCTGGCAGAAGGGCTCTGACCTTTGGCTCTTCCTTAAAGGAATTAAAACAGTTAATGACTTTTGTGCCTATTAAGACTGTGGGCATTTGTGGGTCTTTGCTTTCTGCATTAGACCGCATTTCAATGCTTTCCAGTGGGCTTTTATTTTGAAACTGTTGTACATTGTTTAATCTTCTCCCCCAGATCCCACTTAAGAATCAGAGAGGAAACCCAAGAAACATCTTACTTCTTTTACCTGTTAGCTAGAAAAATGTTCACGGCAGAACCAAGTCTTCTTTTCAGAAAGCCAAGGATACTTTCTGTTGTGAACAGCGAGTTCTTTTTTTGCTGTGAATTTTCCTAAACAGTGCTCAAAGCACACAGGATGAACCATGATGGAGTATGTGTGTTTTATTTTAGGACACTGCGATTATTTTTCAAAATACAAAATAGCTTAGAGTTTATAAAAGTGGGCGATCACGCTGGTGAGCATGTACTGCTCTGGTCTGACCCTACAGATAACAAGATTGTCTCGCATTTGTTGGTGGCTGAACCAGAGAAGATCTATGCCATGCCTGACCCTACTGTCCCTGACAGCGACATCAAAGCCCTCACGACACTCTGTGACTTGGCTGACAGAGAGTTGGTGGTTATCATTGGATGGGCAAAACATATTCCAGGTAAGTTCTCTGGAAATCCCAAAGAAACACAAAGACTGCAGGTGCCTACAGGTTGGTATGTCCTATAGGAGAAAAATTTTACATTTTTTTCTGTGAGATCATTTCTAACTGTCTGCTGTCTGTACTTAACTCAGCACCGGTTTTCTTAATTCAGAGCCTCATCTTTTATGGAGAGGTAGACCTGATGTTTATACACTATTTGAGGGCACTATTTGTGACAATTTAATAAAGAACATGCCAGCCAGAAAACCATTTCTTAGTTATATTAAAGATTTTTATCTTTTTTCTGAGAATAATTCTACATTCTTTTTTTTTAACTTTCAAACAATTATTTTCAGTTAGTAGGCTACTGTACCCTTTTCCTTCTCTGAATCTTTCATCCTGGTATTTATCATCCTTACTTTGATCTTCTCCTGACGATCACACATTTTAAGTCAGTTTGCAATTAGATATTTATGATGAATTTATATACAAAATGAAACACTAGATGAAGATGATAGATTTTTTTCATAAGCTGACCCCGAACCTGTTTTATTATCTTTCCTTCTTGATCTGTCCTGTAACAGCAAAGCGTATACCTGGCCATGTAACAAAAGGAAACCCTTTGAAAATGTTAGTGATGTGTTTGGATTTGTTCTCATTTCCTCTGGCTTTAGTTTCCAAATAGTTTATAAAGAAGTGTTCAAGTGACAAAAGATGTTTTTCTGGCACACACAGTTAGCATATTTCCGTCCCCTTAAACTAGTTTGTCTTTATGCTTTGAATGCTACAGTAATTTCTTTAATCAAATTGATGGAAGTCCCTTTCCCAGCCCGCACTGAAACCAATTTATTGGTCATGATACACCAGCCATGTCGGTAACAGTCGTAACGAACTGTCAGGCAGTATCGCAGTGAAGCTAATTTGAAGTCATTAGGTGTGCAGCGTCTGGGCAACAATTTGTTACAGTGGTTAGGGACACAGCTGACATTTCTGAATGGCTTTGTTCAGGGCAGTTCTAGATGAGACCAAGCAAATTGTAAACTAATTTAAACATCGCTCTGTATTATACTGGCTACTTTGTCTTACACTGTGTGCTAATAAAGCTCTCCAAATTAAGTCAGAACTGGTTAAATAGGTAACTTGGATGTACGCTTTGGGAAACACCCATACAAGAAGAACAGTATCTAGAAGAATGCATTAGTCCTATGGACCTAGGATTGTGAGCTTAGATTATAATCACGCTTATATGGATTGTATAAAAAGGTGTGCAGAGGAAGTATTTAAAAAGAACCAGATGGCTGGGTTTTGTGAGGCTGAGGCAGGAGGATGTGTCTTGACTGTAGAATGATAGGTCTGCCACAGGGAAAAAGCCAAGTGACACATTTGTCTGGATAGTAAATGAAACCTCTTTGGGAAGTAAATGCTGTTGGTGGCTGGGTTAATGTAGAGAGAAACAAAACTAACACCTTTTGAAAAAAATGTCTATAGTCACATTTTTATATGATCAAGAGAGATCATTAATGTGGTAGGCGATTGTTCCATATGCTTATATCTGTTCACTTATTTTTGTTATCTAAGTATCAACTTAATATAAATGGAATTACATTACTTCCCCTTTACCTCCCAGTCCTTCTCAACTACACTCTCTTGAAGTCTTCCTATGCTCCCCAACTCTCAAGCTGACAGTTTCTTTTTCTTTGATTATTATTGTTACATACACATGTATGCATATGTACATACATATACCTATTCTAACCTAGGGCTTCTCATCTTGGTATTACCAATACTTAGTACTAGAAAATTCTGTTGTAGCTGGCTTTTCTGTGTATTATAGTATATTTGATAGCATTCCTACCATCTACTGACCAGATACCAGTAGCACCCATAACAAATGAAAATGTCCTCAGACACTACCTTATGATGCCAGAGGACACTTCACACCAAGCTACCCACTCCAGCTCTCTCAATTGAGAACCACTCTTCAATTGGGAATATTTATTCTCCTTTATTCAAGGACGGAGAGATTTGAGGCAAAGAGAAATGTAAGCACTCATATAAGTTCACAGATGTTTCCAGAATATTCAAAACACAGTCAAGCCCAGTGCGACTCATAACAATGGCAGAATCAATATTAGACAGGTTGAGGTAGGACAAGTGCCATGGTTTGGGGTAGCCTGGGCTGCATAGTGTATTTCAGACAAGTCTGTGTTTAAGACTATGTTTCAAAATAATATCATATTCAAGCTAAGATCCCCAGCACCCACGTAAAAGCCAGGTGTGGTGCCACATGTCTGTCATCCCAGTCCTTGGAATGTGGAGACAGGAGGATCTTGGGAAATTGCTCACTAGCAAGTCTTCCAGTGAGCTTCAGGTTCTGTGATAGACCCTTTCTTCAAAAATAAGGTGGAGAGTAATAGAGGAAAATACTTGACATTGGCCTCTGACCTCCATGCTCCTGCCACAAACACGCAACCAGCCAGCAGCAGTGTGTGATTCCTGACATCATGATTTCAGATCACCTACTGCTTCAGTGGGCTCTGCTCAGGTCTCCCCAAGTTAAGAGATTTATTAAGGCAATATTGTGATATAATAATATCATCTGGAATTGTCATGAGAAAGACCAACCATTAAAAAAAAAAAAAAGCAACTGCTCCCAAAGCCTGTGGTTAGGAAAGGTCAGAGGTGAGTTTACAGTTTGATTATGTGCCTAAGTAGAGATGGGGCTTAGGAAGAAGTATGTTGTAGTCACGGACTGGGCAACTTTGGTGAAGGCAGTAGCTTTGAATAACTGAGTGGTGCCCTTTCCAGTGCTGGAAACAATGGATGTGTGCTTCTGTGCTTGGTTGGAAGCCGGGCTTGGAATTGGTGGGAGTTGACATTATTCTTCTCAGGAGCAATGAAGACACAGTCACTGGCAAGATGCCTTAAGCTCTCATTTTCCTGGTACCCAGAGGGTATTTTACGTGATTACAAAGAGAACCTTAGCTTTTCAGAAGGGAATTCAAAAGCATCAATTCACTGAACCGTTTCTTAAGTTTTTTGTTTATTTGGGTTTTTTTTTTGCTTTTTGTTTTTTATTTTTTAATCAATATGCATGCCCTGATGAGTTTGGGAATGGTGTGGGAAGCTCTGTGTTGTCAAAGCATGCCTGAGTTCAAGGGCATCCAAGAACTACACATCACCACGTGGAGCATAAAGATTAAAGTCACATGTCTGCCTTGATAAAAATAAGATTGTGCTCTCTCTAGGGAGCCAGTCTTACTAAGCGAGTCTGGAGTCACATTACAGCCAGAAGCAAAAGGAAGCTTCCCTTTGGTCTTAACTTTAGAATTTTTTATGTAACACTTATAATGAAAGTAAAGTGAACTTGTACACATGCATGCACATGTATGAGTGCACAAACACATGCAAAGGCACACACACATAAAC